GGGTTTCCAAGAAGCTGGCTGGTGAGTTTGAACCGCTGACCTTGTGGGTCAAACTGACCTTGAGATCAAGCATTTATCCTACAGTGCCACACCAGGACTCCTGCTACTAATTTTATAAAAGTTAACTATGGTTATTATGTACACAATGACAGGGTAGGCAGCCAGCTAAGAGAGGAAACAGTAAGGAATTGTATCTTCTTCATAATGGCAGGAGGGAGCCTCCGGTGCCTTGAGGATTCTAGTTAAGACATATGTTTCCTCAGTTCAGTCTCTAATGTCCTATCCTCACTCAGTTTCTGGGGGTAAAGTAATAACTGTTTTCCAGAAGGATACTAGATATGCATTTTAAAAGGTCATTCTGAAAAAAAAAAAAAAAAAAAAGCCATTCTGGCACTTACTATCTGTGCGATCTTAAACAAATCACTAAACCTTCTTTTGGTTTCCTTTTTCAATAATGATGTGTGAATGACAATACCCTTTCTCCCACCTATAACTTTCAGGGAAGAGGAAGTGGGGGAATATAGACTTATTGGCGTACTGGCGTGGTGCTGTCGGATAAGCATTTGACTTCAAGGTCCATTTGAACCACAAGGTCAGTGGCTCAAACTCACCAGCTGCTACTTGTAAACCCTATATAGGGTCGCTTGATTGCAACTTACAAAAATAACACATAAATATCAGACAATAGAGTTGGTACTGACTGGTATTTACACTTCTGGGTCTCTGTGTTGCAAACAGTTAACATACTTGGCTTCTAAGTGACAGGCTGGAGGTTCAAGTCTATCCAGTGTCACCTCGGAAGGTAGGCCAAGCATGCAACTTCCAAAAAAATCAACCATTGATATCCTATGGAACACAGTTTGACTCTGGCACACATGGGGTTACCATGAGTTGGAATCCCCTTGGCAACTGTTTGTGTATGTGTGTGTGTGCTTTAAACAAGTAGCAGGGTTTGAATCCTTACCAACTACTAATAGCAATTTTAAACTAGTTTAATCTTTACCCATCAAAATAAGACTTAGAAAAATTTAATTAGTAAAATGGTCTTTCAACAAGACAATCATTCTAACTTGCATTTTTTTTCATACTTTCAAAAATACTCTTAATCAGATGGTCTATATATACTGCTAACACAGTACATTCACATTTTATAAGTGATAAAAGGAAAGGAATGTTCAATTCAAATACAGAAATCACAGCATGGATTAGAAGATTCCTCCTGCGTCAGCAGGAGGGTCTATTCTCTCAAGCACTTGAGTTGGGCCAAAGTATTATGTAACTTCAGACACAGTCTCAGTTACTTTATTTATTGGAAATAATTTTACAGCTATGATAAAAAGGACAATGTTGCTGTTATTAAGTGCTGTTGAGCTGGTTCTGACTCATAGTGACCTTGTATAGGGTTTCTAAAGAGTGGCTGGTGGGTTTGAACTACCAACCTTGTGGTTAGCAGTCCGGAGCTGATCCTGTGGTGCTACACCCGGACTCCAAAAGGACAATAGAGGTATTCTTTCTAAAATCAATGCAATTCAGATGCAATTGTTTTAAATGTCCAAATTTGGAGATTCGTTATTAGGTGCCATCGAGTCGGTACCGACTCATAGCAACCTTATGCACAGCAGAAAAAAACACTGCCTGATCCTGAGCCAGCCTCACTACTGTTGCCATGCTTGAGTTCATCGATGCTGTCACCTGGCCAATCCAACTCGTTGAGAGTCTTCCTCTTTCTGTCCCTCCACCCTACCAAACATGATATCCTTCTGCAGTGACTGGTCCCTCCTGACAATATGTCCGAAGTATGAGAGACGAAGTTAGGCCATTTTGGCCTCCAAGGAGAACTCTAGCTGCACTTCTTCCAAAACGGATCTATTGGTTCTTTTGGTAGCCCATGGCATTTTCAATATTTTCCTCCAGCACCATAACTCAAAAGCATCAATTCTTCTAGTCTTCCTTATTCACAGTCCAGCTTTCGCATGTATGTGAGGTTACTGAAAATACAATGGCTTGGGTCAGGCGCACCTTATTTCTCAAGCTGACATCTTTGCTCTTCAACACTTTAAAAATGTCTTGTGCAGCAGATTTGCCTAATGCAATATGTCGCTTGATTTCCTGACTATTGCTTCCGTGAGTGTTGATAGTTGATTCAAGTAGAATGAAGTCCTTGACAACTTCAATCTTTTCTCCATTGATAAGAATGTTGTTTATTTGGACATTAGCAGGAAGAAAAACCACTAGCGAGTATTTCATCAAGATGCTATGTTTTTAACTGCCTAAATACTAGCAAAGAATATATCATGGAAATATTGCAGGTGTGGTTCCAGACCACCGTGGCAAAGCAAATCTCTCATGAATTTTTTCCTTTCCCAGTGAATATAAAAAATTATGTTTACACTATATACCAGTCTATTAAAGGAGCACTAGTGGTGCTGCGGGTTAAGCACTGGACTGCTAGCCACAAGGTTGGCAGTTCAATCCACCAAACATTCTTTGGGAGAGAGATGAGACTATCTTTTCCTGTAAAGATTTACAGTCTTGGAAATCCCATAATATACGGTCGTTTGGCGTTGGAATTGACTCAGTTGCGGTGGGTATTGGTAGTATATTAAGAGTGCAATAGCATTATGAAAAAGTTTAAAATATTTTGAGAACAAGGAATATGCTTATAGACTTGCTCAACAAAGCGTTGCCACAAACCTTCAATTTGTAAAAAAGTCAGTTATCTGTGAAGCATAATAAAGCCAAGTGTGCTAAAAAGAGGTATGTCTGTAACAATAAAATTGCATTCACTATGGTTAAGAGTTCAGAGTTCTGGATTCAAAACACAGCTCTACTCCTCCCGGCTGAGTGACTGTGGACAAATTACTTAATCTTGTTAAGTGTCAGTTACCTAATCTGAAATGGATATGTCAAGTTCCTATCTCTTGAGATTGTTGTTTAAAATGAAGTTATTTTATTTAAAACATTTTGAACATGGTAAACACTCAGTAAACAGGAAAGAGAGAAAGAAATGTGAGCTAGAATACGTTTTGTTTTTACTAATGTGAACTGGTGTTGCTGAGCACTGTCAAGTTGGGTACAACCCATAGCAACCCTGTAAAGAGTTTACAAGGAGCGAATGGTGAGCTTGAACCTTGTGGTTCAAATAGATTTTGTAGTCCAGTGTATTAACCCAAAGCACAACACCAGGACTCTAATGTGAATAGTGAGCAACAATTATTTAAAAATTGATTATTTAAGTCCCCTGCAATTTGAGAACTTATATGCTTAGTCAGTTAAAACTAGCTAGAAAAAAATGCAAAAGAATAAAACTTTCTTTCTTTTTTTTTTTTACCTGGTGAATACTACATATTTAAGTTGCTTTCTTTGATAACTGCTTCTCAGTGCAGATTCAGAATTTGTTCCTTTAGAATTTAAATTTGCAAACATAAATGTGCTGGCTAGGAGTTACTCAGGCAGCTCTCATATGTGATACAAAGGGGCAGTGTGCTCTACTGAAGCAAGACAGCTTCCTTTTTTCTTTGGTTTCTACATTTAAGCAGCCTTCACAAAGAACAAGGAACCTATTCAGTGAGGTAAACAAGAAAAGGGCTTCTTTCCTCAAAAGTTCTCGTGGGCTAAAGAAAGCTAACTGTAGTTAGAACTATAAGAGGTGTACATAAGGCAAGTCAAAAGTGTAAAGAGGTAAATAAGGCAAGTACATTTACAGTCTTGAAAAGTATAAGGGAATGTAGAAGATAATAATGGTAAGTTTGCTTTATGTGGATAATTGTACTAAGTGTGTTAAGAGCAAGCCTGTACTTAGGGAAATCTTGAAAAGTGTATGGAAATTTTACATTTTTCACTGTTTTTGCTAATTTTCTCCAAATATGTCAAAGCAAAACTATTGGGTGAAACTTTAAGAAAACCGAGATATTTCCAGAATCTTAAAAAACTCACCTTGGTGGTGGTGATTATGTGCTGTGGAGTACAGATACTTAATTACAGAGGGAAAAAGGACCTTGGTAATGGAGAAATCTTGGATTCATCCCTTTAATTGGTAGATTTAAGTCAACACCACTAATACAAGTTGAACATTATTATGTTTCCATGTGATACACCAATGTCAGTGGTGTAAACTCACTCCAAAAATCTAATCTGAACCTAGTAACGATGAGCTCTGGTAGCGTAGTGGTTATGAATCAGGCTGCAAACTGCAAGGTCAGCAGTTCGAAACTACCAGCTATTCTGCGGGAGAAAGATGAGGCTTTCTGTTCCCGTAAAGATTTACAGTCTCAGAAACCCTGCACGGGTTGCTATGAGTCAGAACCAACTCCACGGCACATAACAACAATTATGAAGAAACATCAGACTAACCTAAAAAAAAAGTCTAAAAATTGACCCTGATCTCCTCAAAAGGATCAATGACATGAGAAACTAATAAAGGCGGAAATGATAATCCCTGATAAAAAATAAATATGAAGAGTATATAAAATATATTATCTTGGATAGACATGAGAATAGTTATAAAAGGTATTAATGGAACAAATGGAGAACTTTAAATGTGATTACTGTATATTGGATAATGGGAGACCCCAGGTGGTACAAATGGTTGACACCTTTAGCTGCTAATCAAAAAGTTGGAGGCTTGAATGACTCTAGGGGTACCTCAGAAGAAAGGCCTGGTGATCTACTTAAAAAAAAAAAAAAAAAAAAATCCACCATTGAAAGCACAGTTCTACTGTGAACACACAGGGTTGTCATGTTGGAATTAACTTGATGGCAACTGGTTTATGTTAGACAACAATACTGAACCCTGAGAATAGGAACTCCATTATGGTTATACTGGAGAAAATCTTTTTAGGTGATACATGCTAAGTATTTAAAGGTACCATGATGTCTACAGTTTATTTCAAATTAACCAGAAAAGAAAATCATTAAAAAAGACAAAATCCATAAGTGCCTAAAAAGATTGCATACATGTCCTGAAACTGTCTACTTTGTATGGTGTTCTTGAAATATACCTTTCCCAGAATGCTGATGGCACAAGCCATACCAACTTGTCCAACACCCACTACAGTGATCTTATTATTTGGAACTGATGCCTCTTCTTCTGCAACTGGTGCAATCAGTTTTTCCTTAAGAGTTGCCATTGTGTACTGCAAAAGCAAAGCAAAACAAAACACAACATTATACATATATATCCACAGATGAAACCAGAATTGGAATTATTCTTAAAGTGTTACTGTTGAAATTTGTGAACCAAACTACAGTTTACAATATGCCTTGTGATATTATAGAACACAGGTAATATTCAAGAGAATCACATGACTCCTTTAATGGAGAATTTAATTAAGGCTAAAAACCTCCATGAAATCCATTAAAAAGTGGGCTCTTCTTTTCTGCATGTAATTTCATATTAATATTTAATAGATCATAACTGTTTTGCTTATGGGTAAACTACACAAACATTTGAATATATTTATATTTGACTTAGTTGATTTTTGTTTTCCTGATCTCCTATATGGAATTTACAGGAGACCAGGGAAAAAAATAAGGAGCTCTGGGTGCGTAGTGGTTACAAATCGGGTTATTAATCTCAAGGTCAGCAGTTCAAAACTACCAGTGTCCGTGGGAGAAAGATGAGGCTTTCTGCTCGCATAAAGATTTACAGCCTGGGAAACCCTATACAGGGTTGCTATAAGTTGGAACCGAACTCCACAGCACACCACCACCATTACCAGGAAAAAAATCAGCTAAGTCAAATATAAATATGTTTATGATTTAATGATATATGCATTTGATCCAATAAGTGATCAGTCATTAGACAAGGTCAGCGGTTCCTCACCAGCTGCTCCTTGGAAACCCTATATAGAGTTGCTATGGGTCGGAACGGACTCGGCGGCACTTAACAACAACATATGGAATTTAGGAGTCCTGGTGTGAAGCTGTAGGATGAGTACTAGACTGCAAGGTCAATTTTAACTACAAGGTTGATGGTTCTAACCCACCAGTCTCCTCAGAAACCTTATACAGGGTAGTTACGAATTGGAACCCATTCAATGGCACCTAACAACAAGAACAGCAATATGGAATTTAACTGTAGTAATGCTTGATATTTAAGCTAGTCTAAAATATTTGATACTGTGGTGACCAGTTATGAATATAGTTTCAACAGCTAATGCTACAAATGGTTACTACCACTCTTGAAACACAAAGATTGGTTTGCCTCTTTTCAATCTCAGTTAAAATATGTCATAATGCCCTGAGTACAGAATTTGTGCTTCGTAAGTACGTTGTTGTTAAGTGCAGTCAAGCGACCCTGGATAGGGTTTCTGAGAAGCAGTTGTAGGTTTTGAACTGTCCGGTGCTTATCCTACAGCACCACACTGGACTCCTCATAAGTACATAGTGACAATAAAATGATGAGCCCTGAGAATAGTAATTCTATTATGCAATATGCACCATATGCAAAAATAGTACTCAGAATTCCTTTACATTGACCTTGGAAGGTTATTGGAAAGTTTCTTTACAACCATCAAAATTAAAGCTGAAAAACAAAACTTGTTAAAAGAATAAAGCTGAAATCAATAGGAAAGCATTACATACAAATCTATCTGTGCCATCAGATAATCCGGTGCACAATCTAGGTAACTGAAATGAATGTCAAAGGTAATAAATTTCATTTATCAATTCCATATCAATGAAGTACATAAAAACATACTGCCCTGTCTTCTTAAACAGAGAGGTTGCAGAGCATAAGTCTTTCCTTGATAATTAAGAATCACTGTTATAATTCTAATACATTGTAAAGTCAATTGTTTAGTTTCTTTTTTATTTAATTCTAATGCTAATAATACTGAGGCCACTTTACCTGCTTCAAACAGGTACCTTGTGTCCAAGCCTTGTTTTTTTTTCCTTCTAACCTGAATTGGGCTATGTAACAAAATCTAGTTTAGTAATTGTATATGTTAAGTAAGAGTTACTAAGGCTCTGAGTTGAAACAAATGCTTGACTTTGGGGACAGCTGTGTGACACCTATTTTGTTCAACAGCTATTTTCTTTTTCAAAAACTTTTTCCTCTCAACCTGTACGGACTACACTGAGAGAAGAGTAACAAAAAATTTTCTCTTTAGAGAGTACACTCAGTTTTCTTTGTGGATGCTAGAGAAAAAACAAAACAAAACAAACACAATGTTCTGCAACTGTCTCCATAAATAGAAGACTGCAATGAAATTCACATATGCCCTACATTTGGAGCAGAATCAGAGGAAAGATTGCTGCATGTTTTCTTATTGAATAGAGATAGAAATGCATAGTTTCTTTCCATCTAAGTTTAATTTCCATGTAAATTTACATACCCCAAATATATATGAGACCCAGTAATCAGTGGAAAACAAAAACCCAGAAATGGTTGCTACGTAAAAACAGAGTAATTGTTCAGATTGACTTTTTAAATTATTTTGGGGGGATTTTTGGAAACATTTTTTTGAGGTTCTATACAATAGCATTTTCCTTTCAGATCTTTTTGGAGATTTTCTTTGGAAAAAAATTTTTTATAGGAGTTATAAGAAATTTGAAGAAAATATGTTGCATTACATACAGGCCTGTGCCAAGACTAATGTGGCAACTGTCAGGAAAAAGAATGACAAATAAGCAGTGGGAAAACATACTTTTTATTTCTTTACACAGGCCCTCCATCCCCCCAGCTATAAACCATTAGAAATTAACCAGAGCGTTTAACTCAGAAACAAAGCCTCTTTGCAGAGTATCTCTCAAATCAAACATTTTTAAAACTCCACGTTAATCCCTCTACCAGGCAGTGTCAGCTTTCCCCTTCCCCTTCTCTCCGGGGGCCTAATTGCAGCCTGCAAGGTTCTCCGCCCACAGCTACCTCTTCCGCTTGGTGGAGGCTACCAAGAGCAGCAAATCACAAGGGGAGGGAGCAGCCACAGACCTACTCGAAGAAGGTCTCTGGGGGAACGGCTAGGCCTACTGTACCCAAAGCTGGCAAAGTAAACAAAGCACCGACAGCATAGAGCAAGGAGACCATAGAAGAGCCGCCTATAGCCGGGGGAAGCGCGGCGTCTGCCCGGAGAACATGGCTAACCCAGCACATCATCTGATGCTTTACCCTCATCACAATCGCTGGGGAGAGTTCTTCATTACCGAGGAAGTAGATTCCAATCTATACGCAGGCTCGGATAGGCTAGCCTTCAGAAGTTCGTTTCTTTTCCCTTTTCTAGCTCTTTGGGCACGTGTCCGGGGTCGTGCCATGAGGTAGAGGCGGTGAAGTGGCCGCCATGAACCTTCAAGGACATTGGGGGACCGGTTTTAGCTGCAAATGCAACAGGTCTCTCCCCGACAAAGCAGGGGCTGGAGGCGAGCCCGGCTGAGACGAGACTAAAGGCTTGCTCTCCCCGCAGTCTCTGTGCTCCACCTTCTGTACCGGCCCGCTGCCTCAACCAGAGAAGCTGAGTCAAGACCCAGTCCGGATGCTCAAAGCTAAAGGCCTCTGGGTGGAAGCAGAGGACAGATGTCCTTCTTGGTCCTCCCCCAGTCTAGCGACACAAGACTCTCCTGCACTTTCTACCCTGTTCGTCTTTGACCCAGGATTTAGGGTCCTGTGCGGAAACTTACCAGTAGAGAGGAGTCGTTCAAGGCAGTAGCCGAAATTGTGCGAAGGAGACTAGGTTAGACGCGTTTGTCTCCTCCAGCGCAGGATCTGCAGAGAGGAGGAGGCGGAGCCCCACACTCCCCTCAGCCTCTTAGGTTTCTCTATTGTGATTGGAAACCCGAGCACCGCCTAACCCTCCCCTTGGCTCGCTCAATCCCCTTCAAGGACAAGGGCTCAAGTGTGCAGGCGCCCTGTCCCCTCCCTGAAAGAGGAGGTCACCTTGGTGGGCAAAGCGGCCTCCTTTCTCAGCTTCTTGTTAGGTGCTATGGAGTCAGTACCAACTCATAGCGTCCTTATGCACAGCAGATAAACACTGCCCTAACCTGGGCCAACATCACTATGGTTGCCACTCTTGACCCCATTGATGCTGCCACTTTGCCAATCCATCTTGCTGGGGGGTCTTCCTCTTTTTCTCTGACCCTCCACCTTACCAAACATGATATCCTTCTCCAGAGACTGGTCCTTCCTGACAATATGTCCGAAATATAAGAGACAAAGTTTGGCCATCCTGTCCTCCAAGGAGCACTCTGGCTGCACTTCTTCCAACACAGATCTGTTTATTCTTTTGGCAGCCCACGGCACTTTCAATATTCTCCTCCAACACAGTAACTCAAATACGTCAATTCTTCTATGGTCTTATTTCTCAGCTAGTCGGCTAATTTGAGGACTCTGTAACGCAGAGACTCATGCCCAACTCTAAAACGGTACATCTACGACTCGACTCTTTGGACTTTCACGCTGTTGCTGGAATCGATTTAATACACAAATAGAAATAAATGTCTACTTCGCATCCTAGTTTTAGAGAACTATATTTTTAACTAAAATGTTGGTGATGTGCTTCCCTGCAACAATATGATAATACTGGCACTTCTTTAACTTAACAAAAAAGAGTAAAACGAAAATTGTATCATTTCGGTTATAAAGTTCATTTGATGAAACAACAATGTTTATTCAACAAATAACCTCTTAATTGCGTACTAGTGGCCTTCTAAAGTTTCTCTACAGGTTTGCACGATCTCAAGAGCAACATTTACTCTCAGGAGATCATAATGGGGCCACTAAATACATACAGGAGTCTTGGTGTGGTGCTGTAGTATACACACTGGACTGTTAACCACAAGGTCAAAGGTTTAAACCCACCAGTATCTCATTGATCTGTTCAAATGCCTTATGGTCTATCTACAGGTTCCTCATGAACACAATTAAGTGTTCAATAATACCCATTTTTCTCAATTTATCCATAGTTTGTTATGATCCCCACAATCAAAAGCCTTTGCTTAGTCAATAAACCAAAAGTAAACTTCTTTCTGGTATTCTTTGCTTTTAGCCAAGATCCATCTGGCATCAACAGTGATTTCCCTGGCACCATGTCGTCTTCTCAATCTGGGTTGAATTTCTGGCAGCTCCTGGTGAGTCGCTACTGGAATCACGAGCAGCCATCTAAGGTGCAACTATTGGTCTCTACCTGTTTGGAGG